TTCAGCTTTTCTATTTTAAGTTATTACCGAGCAACAGACACTACACATTTTCTCGGACAAAAAAGACAGGTAACTGTAAGGCATCAGCCATATTAACCCAAAAGACAAGTAACATAAAAACACATGTTTTGTGTCATATAGGGATGTACCTTGCATAGCATGCAAAATGGCCAGTTCTGTCACCATCCTTTTTCGTACAGGGAGATAAGTTATTTTCAATGTGTTAATTTATGAATTTTACATAACGTGTACAACATATTGATAAATGCGCTCTAGAAAAGAGAAATTTCCAATTATCATCAGGTTTTTTGCAAAACATATCAGACTGAGCATGTCTGAACATATTGCAAATCATTTTATTCCATTTTTTTTTGGTCCCAAATGACTTTAAGTTAAAAGCTTATTTTAAAAAAACTGGCATTTTTCAAGTGCAACAGCATAACGTAGATTTTATGCCAATTTCTGGTCTTAAATTGGCCATAGCTTAAGTTTTAAACATCTTAACACCAAATCTCTTCCTGATTGTCTGGAAAATAACTGTATTAGTATAACAAGTTTGATAAATGTCAACAGAATGCGATAAATACATAATAGCATATTGATTAGACTAGTCTACATTTTGACAATAACCTATCGGGTTTGACTTTGTTTTTGGAGACAGAGGTATCCTCCCGAATGCACACAGTACATGTACTTAACTTTCGAGCCGTGTTGTCAGGACCTATAAAACCCTTGAAGTTATAATCAGCACTGCTTCGCCCTGCAAGTACCTTTAGTTGGTCTGCTAAAATACAGTTGATACTATTGTTTTGCAACAACCTTGGACCAGCATTTGATTTGATAACTTCTGACAGCAAATTAGTTTTTTTCTCCATAGAAAAACAACAACCCATAAAACCCTCAGGATTTTTGTACTACTGTATCATGGCTAACTGTGATGGTAGTTTGTAAACTTATGCTGATGTCATAACCGGGTCCCGGCCAGGAAGTCTTATGGAATGAAAGGTATGATCATACAAAAGACAACAAAGCACATGCAAAAAAACTTAAAATTAATAATGGGAACTGTTTGTGTATCTTCTTGTTGATTTTTCGTTAATCGAAACAGCCCGGCCCCAGTTTGGAAATGTGACCTCAGCATAACTTGTTGAAAGATGGACCTCCATGGCATATATTGTAAGGCAATGGATATGGGCTTATCAGATGTGTATTCATTTTTTTTCAACAAAAACTGACTGAAACAGTGAAAGAAAGGTTTTTGGTAGTAGGTGTACTCAGCTCTTCTAAATACTTCAAGAAAAGGTTTCCCTGGAAATGACATTGTATCTAGTATTTCCATTAAATACCATTTAAACTGAAGGAACAGATTATACTTTGCCTGAGGTATGGGACATACATTACATGTATATGGGATTATCAGTAATGTGTTACGAATCCTTTAATTATTCGTGACCACCATCCTTTTGTCATGCACTCACCTACCTACTATTGTATTATCATTTGTTTGTCACTGATACTATTATCATTCCTGAGCCAATGTATTTGCATAATCTTAGTCAAAAGCCAGTTTTCCGAGTGCAGTCATTCTGGGATTGATGTGCAAGCCACAAAAAGGAGGTTTAAAATCAAATTTTGAATTTTAAACCTCCTTGGCCAGACAAATAACAACAATATTGTCAGCACTCGGGACACAAGCTGAATTACAGCTTTGTGTCAATTGAATCAGCAGTTCTCCTCAAAAGCAGCAAAATTTTCTTGCAATGGTCTGCAGATTTGAGCAAAAATAGTACAAGCTTGGGAAGAAAACAAGTCCTAACACCTTAGCTAGAGATCTTCTGACAGAATGCCATTCACTTTAATAGCGTGAATTTCCTAAGACGATGTGGACCATTCCATTATCTACAGGGACAGTCTTATAGTCAGTCAACTTTTGTAGGCAAAATTCCCAAACACACTGACATTTGAGGAAAGTAAAAAAAAATGCTATGAACGTATGTCTGAATCAATCAGCTATGTCAACTTCTTGAGAAGGGAATTTTGGGATCTGTTTTGGTTACTAGAAGACTCTTTCAACAGTGACATGTTTGAAGGGTAAAGATACTGACCTCCAAACTTTTGATAACTATCAGTATCAAAAATTACCTGCACCCTACAAATTTAACTTACAGTCTGTTCCTACCTGAAAGGGATAACAATCCCATTTTGAATGATAATTGCTCAATCAGACTGTATTTCACACCAACTGGCAGAGTGTTAATAGGTTCTGGCTGGACCATGGTGGGCTTGCGTAACCCAGTGGCCTATGAACCTTGGTCGATTTACATTTTTCACACCTTTTCCTTCAAATTTGTAGGCCACTGGCCTGAGCTTGGTTCAGCTGGGCTAGGTGATTTGAGGTGTGAAGCCCAGTGGGGGCCAGTGGCAGGCCACTATTGTTGTTGTGCCAGGCCACTATTGTTGTTTGTACAGGCCAAGTGGTTTAATTGCAGCCCATTGATGGGCTATCAACAGACCACATGGTCTAGTGCATTTTCAATCAAACATATCTAATCCTATAAACATCACTGACTAATAATTTTTACATGACTACTGTCATGGTGAAGAGAGCTTTCAGATGATACCATTCTTGTAGGCAGAAATTTGATATTTCTGAGGATTCCCGATTGCCTCTGTTTTTCCCAATTTAAATTGACCAGTGTTAATAGGTAATCACATACTGTGAATCACTATTTTTTCACGGCACTTTAGTTAACATTCACGGTTTTCACAGTCACTTCTGTCACACGAATGTATCATTACTGCAAACAAAATTTGCCAACTTTCATTCTTGTCCTTTTTTCTCAGACCGTGAAATTTTGCTACTGCAAATATAAAGTGATTTACAGTATTCCAGCCCTTACCCTTTTTCTAGATATGGCTGAAAAGCCATTTAAGCTGAAAATGGCTGACAAAAAGGAAGAAAAAGGTGTAGAAAAAGAAAAGAATTAAGGTGAAAGTTGAAAGCAATTCACAGCACATTTAGTAGTGTTTTCATACCAAACAAGCAGCTGTAGCAACATATTTAAGGTTTGACATTACGGCTAAGTCCTCAATAAGGGTGCTTTCACAACCCTTAAATTACACCTTTGCCAACTGGGAGGGCTTTGAAAGTTTTTGGCTGTCCCAGGTTTCCCCTTTGATGTTCACCTGCCGGAGTGAAGTGCCCTTAAGGCACAGGTGTGCAAGGTGAACTGAGGCCGAGGTGTTACGTTTCATTTTTAGAAGACACTGGATTCTTCTGTCGTACCTGTACAGTCAACTCTTTCTCAACCATTTCGCTGGATTGTTTTGGTTTGTGTCGTGTAAGACAATTCAGTAGTTACATTAATTAAGGCTTAAATCAATTGATTAATTGATACAATGCTCAAAGTTTCAAACCTTACAGTCTGGTCTTATACAGCTTATACTTACTGTGCTGGTGTGTTGTGCATAATGACGGTTTACCGATTGTACAAAAACAAAGAAACAAACAAACAAACAAAGTCTTGGATGTTTGAAAGGGTTTCTCCTTGTAATCTGTTACACAAATGTAGTGTGTCCTCAGTGTGTCCTGCCCCTATATGACCCACCTGGATGGGTACAAATTTACATGTAGGTGACAATCTGTTTACCGCGGGTGCCCTCGCACAATACCGCGGCTTGCAGACGCCTTGTTCTACCCCGTGGCTCTCGGAGTGTCTTGCGAAGCGAGCGTGACGGAGTTGAGATAATCACGCTATCGGGATGGGTCCTCGCGAGCCCGTGTTGTTTACATGCTATTCTGGAGCAGCGGAGCGTCTCGAGGGTTGCTATGGGGGGATCCTGCGGTTGTTGATGGATAGTTGTGCTTTTCAAGCACCTACATAGAGATCGTTCCACCTCTTCTGAGTTGTATAGAAGGCAGATTTGCTAAGATAGGAAGCTAGATAGGGGACTTTAAAGTAAGCTGTGCATATTAGAAATGTACATGTCAAGATTTTGTCAGTGTTGCTATCATAAAGTTGCAATTATGCCACACAATTTAATTTCTTGGTTAACGGATCAAAATAAAAATAAAAAATAAGAACAGGCCTAGGCCTCCTATTATGGCCCAAAATGGTACGATACGAGCCATGAAGTCAACACACCAGGCTGGTTCAAAATTTAAACAATGAATTTTGAACTTTTAATGATACCATTGCATTGAAAGATGGAATAACTGTAATGACTAGGATGAAAAGGACTGTTTTCAACTGTTCAGGGCAAAATATGAGCATTTTGCAGTCGATTCTGAAGTTTTATTTTTATTTGCAAATCAGAAAAAAATTCAGCGGGCGAAGAAATTAAATTGGTGTGGCCTTAGCTTTGCTTTAAAGTTGTCAAAAGTAAGTTGTGACCAAAAATGAATAAAGAATTATGGCATGGTATGATTTTTGTAACATGATCTCTATTAAAGGCTAATTTTTTATTATGAATAAATAAAATAGTTCTTAAGGATGCATATCAGCAGAAATACTTTTAGCACTAGATTATGAACTTTATTATTGTATGCATTTGACCCGAATATGATATGTTATTAGAAGTTAAGCTATTTTCAAACACCATAGGGTACCCCTCATATTTGTAGGCTTAGTCACATACATATTCATGTACTGTAAATAATACATTTCCCAGGTTGCTTAATTTGTTTAAACACATCACAGCTATTTCTTTGAAAAAGTTTATAACTTCATAGGTACGTATAGTAGTAGTTGAAACTTTCTCTCTGAACACTGATAGTTCTTACAAGTATTCCATAACTGAAGCCAGATTTCAGGACTACATTTATGCTGTGTTGGTTGGTGACCAAGCAATGTGGAATGTGCTCAAATGATCCCTGTCAAAATATTTGCATTGTTGAAGGCCCCCCTAGAATGTTCAGTAGCTATATATACATTTTGAAGTCAGCGGCGAATGAGTGAACAGAATTTAATGTTATTTGGCTGTCAAACCATGTTAACGCCATGAATACTGACTGTTAGATAAATATACGAGTATACGTGACACATGATTCTAATTATCGGTATCCTAAAAACAGATAGGGCATGTCCCTCAGAATAATTCATGATCATGAAAATCTAATTTGACAAGTGATTCCTCTGTTACATCAACTGAAATGCGTAAACTAAAAATACTATTGTAGTTCTGAAACTGAACTATTGTCAGACACTTTCAATTAATTTCTTGGCTTAATAACTAAAACGGACATGGAAACATTGAGAATTGAAGAATATTCTACTTTAACTATTTAGAACTGAAAGGATCTGGAGATGATACTTTGTTTTGATGTCGCTTGCTTGGAAGACTGACTGTGTTTCTTATTTGATTGACAGATAGCTGCAGTGATATTAAGAACCTGGATGAAGACAAGGAGATTGCATCGTCGGCCGTTGCGCTTGTTGTCCGCAGCACGCGGCGCGGGATCGTACCACTGTGTGCCGACATCGCCAACCTGCTCAGAGCACGAAAAAGGTTAGTACATGTATATCTTCTTACAAAATATAACTTTAACGTTAACCCAGTAACCAATACAACTATGGTGCCAAATGGTTAACTTAGTACAAGCACATTAAGTTTGTGTACTGTCTTTGCCTGTGTGGAGATTGGACGGTAGCCAACGCTACTGTGCTAATATCAAGGCTGCCAAAATCTGCAGACTTATCTAATAATACAATTCTACTAAAAACACTCAAGCCACCTGCAGTATATGCCTCATTCAGGCTTTGAAGTCGGAAGGGGGCATATAAATAACACTGACAAGTTACACGTTGTCTGGAGTTTAGAAGTGCTTCATTGTTTCGTAGCAGCATGTACGGTTACTGAACTGGCTACTTGTCTGATTTGATGTAAGTTTTGTGGCCCATTGGTTTGCACATAAACAAGCTAAGTCAGCTTCGCCTAACCAAAGAATTTTCGCCACCTTGTAGTATGAGACATTGGTTGGCAGTTGCTGCCTGGCAAACTTATAGGTTATAGAAAGTGCTTTGTACATGTAATAACGTTGATGTTCAAACAGGCTTTGGTAAAATTACAGTGGAGAAGTTATTACTACTTACATTGTTCCGGTAAATTGCTATTTACCTTGGACTTGTGGGGGTTCTATTGTAATTGTTGGCAAACCTCCCCATCAAAAAAAAGTCTCTTTATTTTTGAGTACCACCTATGAATAGCTAGAACCAGCCTACGATGCCATTTTCCGCCAGTGACATCACATTTTTGCCTTGCAGCTTTTAGTATGCTATGGGATAGGGTTGATTCAACTTACTGCATTAAAAGAAGGACCAGAAAATTGACTATGAAAATTGACATGACAGTTTTGCTGTCATGAAATTGCATTGGATGCCTTTAACTAAGTGTACATTTTGTCCTTTTGTGGTCCCCTCACCTAAATTGTAGGACCTTGATGTTTAATGGCCTTGGAGGCCTTCACATTCAAGCCAATACGTGATACAACAACATAAAAGCTTTCAATGTTAAATAGTATCTTGATTTTTTTTTTTTTTTTCATTTTCACAGTGTCCCCCTGAACAAAGTCTGACAATTCAATACTCCATTGGGTTGGTAGTATTATACTCTAGATCTTATAGACAAATCTTAAGAAGCAGAAATGTAGAGAATTTTCTTCCCTCTGGCCATACTGTGTCAGCAGAAGGCCATGTTAACAATACCCCTGTGTTACAAGGTTTGCTGAAGCTACCATGCCTGGGGGGTGACAATCAAAGATGAATTTATCTCTGCCAGGTAAACATGTACAACACACCTCTTATCAGTATAACTCCCTTGCACCTTAAGCTTCCCACTTTCTAACAGTGACAAAAACTCTTCCGTTGCTACCCACACCCAGCCTACGCTTAAAAACTTTCTCCCCATAAAGCAACAAAAGCGCACCGCTCTTGACTTTGTAACCGGCCTTCCTGGTATAAAAGTACCCCTGGTGTCGCTTGCAACAATAGCACTTTGAAGTCCTGGCAAAGGGTGCGTTTATGACTGTAATTAATACGCTTTGGAGCCAGGTAGGCACACATGTAACATTCCACTAATGTCTTCCTGTGGGCTAATTGTGTGTAAATTGTTGTATTACCGAGATATTAATGCCTAGGGTCCAGTGGGTAGGAGATTGCACTTTGTCCCCCTTACTCACCCGACCGGTTTTAATCACTCGGCATACCGTAGGCGCTAAGCGATTATTACGCAGCCGGTCGCCACGAAAAACTTCGTAAAACAGGGCTCTCCTCGGAACAAAAGCTCCCTGAATCTTGTTTTCCTTCGTTTGCAAACAGCCGAGTGGATAAGCACGTGTTAGCGGGTTACAAGAAAAAGACGGTTGCTACAGAAATAATCAGAGCAAAGGAAGTTGCTAAAAGATCACCCGCTTCTTTTATTTTTCAGACAATAAATGTTTGTTTTTACCAGGATTTTGGTGACTTTTTACTGGTTTTGTTTCAATTCTTATCGCAAGTTGGAGGAAAATGGTCTTTAAAATGTGCAGGGTAGTCGGATTTTGACAACCGTGAATAAACCATGTAGGGTGTGGTTTGTAATGTTGCTGTCACACCTGGAGGTCATGGGTTCTAACCCCACGACTCATTAGAGGTTATCAAGATTGTCTGTGTTTTTCTGTGTGTCTTGTCATTTTTCTTGAGATTCTTTCTGTAATCGTGGGTAAATTTAGCAGACAATGTATTTTTGGAGAAGTGCAACAGTTACATGTGTACTATATATACTGTAATTCTTGTTTTTCATGGCACTTTTATGTTCACAATTTCACAGTCACCTCTGTACCGTGAATTTATCATTAGAATACTGCTAACAAATCAATCAATCCGTGAACACCTCCATTTGTCTCAGACTGTGAAATTTTGCTACCATAAAGTGAATTACAGTTACTGTATAGAATGACGATAAATATTAAAATTATAGTATATATTATAGATCTTACTTCAAATTTTTCACATGAAATTCTAACAATAGATAGGTTACGAATACATATACATGTACTAACAGTTCCCAGAGGAAATGGGTGTACGTTGTTATGGTCATGTGCTACAGGTGTCACATCAGGTGTCCAAAATGAGTATTATTAACACCTGGATGCCCTATGTCAAAACTGGCAAGATAAAACTCTGAGCTTGCCTATAGCTATTAACTTGGTACTGTAGAACTGTTACTAAGCCTTTCTTGTGTCTTTAATTTTGAAAGAATTGCAGAATAATAATTATTGTAGGGAGTCTATCTTTCAGGTCATAAGTGTTCAATCTGACAAACCATGGTCACTGAACAAAGTTGTACAGACAAACATCAAATGTCTGTAAAAAGTGTTAACATCAGCAAAATACAAAAGTTTACACGACACGAAAAGTGCATTGAACCTTAGTATTGATTGGCTGCCATGCCCGTCCAATGGTAGGATAGGAAACGCGCTCTCTAAAAGAATTTATCGATGTGTAATACAAGTATTACCAAGGACAGTTTCCTGACATTGTATAATGACTCCATAATGCCTTGACTATAGCTTGTCTAGGAGAATGTCTGACAGTTATAAATGTTGTTGTTCGTTGTGCGTTCAAACAGTTTTGGAATCTCAAAAATCGTAGGACTCAGTCGCCAAGTGATTATGGCAATTAGCCAAGGGTCAAACAATGAACGGTTTTTAAGAAGAAGGATCTGTCATGTTAAGATTTGCAGAGAGCTATTTATGTTTTATAATCATTCAATGATTGGCAATAAAGTTAATCCTTCCAACAGAGAACTCAATTCAGTGCAATATGTAACACAAGGATGATACGAAAGGTGTGATAATAAATTTTTCTGGTCATTTTTTTACATCTTTAGTAAGTTTAGTCAACCCAACTTAATTGCAAGTGCCATTCAGGAAGTGGATGTGCCAAAATATGACGCCTTATGAGTGTGTTTATAAGTTGGAGACACAGCTGTCAGCTACACATGTATGTTTTGTGTACATTCTGGTAGTAGTTTGCGGTGGCACCACAAATGCGAAGACAGAATTAGTGAGAAAATTATTAAATAAAACAAGAAATTAACAAAACTCTGAATGTTTGATGGAGGTATGAGATCCTTTACTTTTCTTATTTTCTTTTTTTAATTCTTTCAAAGAAACAGTGATACAAAGGATCGGTCAAAGACAAAGTGGTGGCCTACTCAACTTGTGCACAACTTCTACACTTGTAGTTGTACATCAAATGTTTGACAATGTTTTACAGATCCTTTATTTCTTGTTTTAGCTTGGAGAACATGGTGGCCATCCAGCGCCAGGAGCTGACCCGCCTGCGCCACGTGCCACCGCCCAACTCCGTCAACAGCAGCCCGCAGACCAGCCGCTCGGGCAGCCCGCTGCAGCCGCACGTCACCACGTCCTGCCGAGCCACGTCACCGACTAACTCCCGCGACAGGGGCGTACAGACACAGGTAGAGGACAAACGGCGCTCAGTCAACTCCAATGTTAGTTACGGTCCTTCCTGCACCACATTGTGCATAGGGCGGTGCCCATCTCCAGTTCAGTAGCCCTTGGGACACACAATTGTGCAATCAGTACAGCAGGGGGCAACGTGGCTGGGGATCAAACTTACAACCTACTGAATGGAAAGCGAGTACTCTACTCTCTTGGCCATTGCTCTGGTCTCAACTCCAATGTAGTGTAGCGCGGACGTCCTCCATAGCCTCTCCTTACCATACCCTACAGTAGTATCCAGTAACTGTCTACAATAAGCAGTACATGGTTTGAGTTGTACAGTCAGATGCATTTTGGGTAATATGTCAAATGGAACGTAAAAAATGGCCATAGGTGCCTGCAACTTCGTTTTCATATGTCTGGATTTTGCCTGCATGTCAATCGGGTCTACTAAAAGTAGTTGGAAACATGCTTTGCCTTTCAGCATGTATCTGACTCACTCCTCACTGACTCACTCATCCAAGCATCCAGGTCCTGTATAACCTGAGACTTAACATACAATAGCAGAGAAGCTTCCCTTCTTACCCTCCCTTGATGGAAAATTCCTGCCATGTAATTACCTTCTATACCATCCTTTCTTCCCGTATCTCACTCTTGGCGTGTCTGAATGAGGGACTGTTTATCTGTTCTTTGATGACGGGCATGCCGTAATCCTGTATATTGTTAACCCAAAGCCGGAGTATCCATGATGAGGTCATGTTGTTTATCAGCCACTCTTCAACTGGAAAAAAACCTCCCATGCATAAAACTCAGGCATTCTTTTCTTGAACTGGCTGTCATCTGCCTTCTTAAACATTGCATACAAGGTGTTAAAAGAGTAGCAGCCCCTATGTTGACAGATTTCCCTTTTAAGACAAATCTGAAGAAGACTCTTAACTTCTAAGACAGTTTGTCACCTGAAGAAAAACCCATGTTATACAGTTGAGCTTCTTGAATGAGTTTTTAAATGAGATTGTAATCCCTTATTCATTACCGCTACTTTCTGACTTCTTGTATAAAGCATTGCAACCAGGGTGGGCTAGTCCACCAAAGTAGGGGAATGAAAATTATAATAGCAAAAATAATTCTTACCTTCATGAAAAATGGAAGTATTGTTTTTGGTCTGTGTGTGTGTGTGTGTGTGTGTGTGTGTGTGTGTGTGTGTGTGTGTGTGTGCGCGTGTGTGTGTGTGACTGCATGTGTGTGTGTGTGTGTGTGTGTGTGTGTGTGTGTGTGTGTGTGTGTGTGTGCGCGCGTGTGTGTGTGCATGTTTACCCTCCTAGTGCCACGGCTGATTTGTATAAGGCTTTATGAAGGGCATAATCACTTGAAAGTACATATGAATTGCACAAATGGAGTGCTAGACAGGTGTGCTATGGGTGCCCTCTGGTGGCTGAAGAAAGAACTGCAGGTCAGCTGAATGGTACAAGCTAAACATAAGTATTAGGTGTCTGTGTGTTTGCTTGTGTGTTGGTAGTTATCTAAATTCAATATAGTACAGGAAAGAAGGGGGGATTTTGTAACCACAGATTGACAGGATGGTCAAGTTGAAAGTCTTCACACAGGCTAGGCTGGGTACAGAGGAGGTATTATTTGTAAACCAAAGATTGCATGAGCTCTGCAGTAGAATATATACTGTACGAAATGTACAGTTTCAATTGCCGTAAGCATTATGCATTTGAGAGACATACTTTTCTGCTTGTTATGAATCTGATTTATTCTAAACGTTGTACAACCTTCCTTTTGTGTAGGATGTGTCCAGCGTATGCACACAGTGCACCACCACAAGCAGTAGAAGTAGTAGTGAGGGGCTGCAGAGAACCACAATCCGGGAGGGGGAGGAAGCAACCAACGATTGCCATGAAACAACGCGTGAATACTCTTCAAAATCTGTGAGTTGATATAGATTTCATTGCTACATATATGTAGGCAATTTACCAATCTTATCTGTATAGCTGGTATAACGGCCCTTCGGCGTAACAAACCAGCTTTGCAGGCACACGGCATGGCAGCAGCTAGCTATATCACACTGAACGACTTGTTACACTCAATCTTTGCACTTTTGGAGTTGTTTAAAGCTTTTTAGTGATGATGCCCCAACTGTGCTTGGTTCCACTGTATAATAGTTCTTGGAAAATATGAGTTTTTGAACATCTAAATTCTTGGTTGATAACTCTGATATGTGAAGGCATGACTGTTGTTCTTTTCTGAGCTGATAATCATTAAATGAAACACACAAACATAATTATAGAGTGCATGCCTTGTACATGGATTTACAACTTCCACAGAAATGTGAATCAGAACGTTTTCTTTCTAGCACCGAACGAGAAGAAAGTTGCCCCGTCAGTACTCCCTGCCTGACATGGGAGAGGGTCAGGAGAAACGCCCCCCTACCACCAAGTCTCGTAGTCTGGACGATCAGCTGTCTGTGTCCTCCACCGAGGTGCAGTGTGACATCCCCAACAGCTGTGAGGATGAGAAACTACTCAAACAGTACCGCGAAAGTAAGCTCAACACCAAAAATACAGTTACTCAAGCAACTGGATATGATTTTGGAAACGGTCAGACATTTCACGTAGCATCCACTACCTTTTGTCAGTGACACTGATCCAGTTGCTTGAGTAACTTTTTTTTTGTATCTTATTACCTTTATGTCTATCGTTCGCCTATGTATCAGCTCAACACATTCTTCTGTACTGGAATGAAAGCTCATCTGTGTTGGTAGAATCCATACTGTTGTACAGGTTTGTTCCAACACAAGAAAGGAACTCACTATAAATTTTGTTGTCGATCTTGTCAGATGTGTGATGCACTTGCTGACTCTCCAGAAATCGAAAGTGTGAAGATGTCAGGAGTGAATCAAAAGTGGCGAGAAGTCTGCTTAACTTCTCATAATCATATAATCAACTGGATTTATCTTCTCTCTTCAGCTTTGAGACTAAACTCCAAACTTGTAGAAGATCTCACGTCAGCTAGGAAAGAAATCGAGAGCTTGAAGAGACAACTTGCTCAACAAGAGGTTTGTTTTCCTTTTTCTTAGCACCATTTTTCAGTTTTTGTAGCTCTGTGTTAAGTTAACAGCAGAAGTTTGGTCTAGTGCACAAAATAATACTTCACCCATCCCTACTTCACTAATAACAGTTCTCTTTACCCATGTGTAGAAATTAGCACTATACGAGGACACCTACCGGATAGAACATGAATTGCAGCAGCTGCAGCAGTGTGGGGAACCCCTGGACATGGTCCCACCTGACGAGTACATCTCCCTTCCCACAATTCCTGGTGCCGACCATTTATCCAAAGGCATTAACGGGTAAGCCATAAGTTTGTACATTAAATATAGATTTTACACATTATGAAATTTTGCCTATTCATGGTGTTCATGGAATTTTTGTTCTCAAGTTAATGCATGCAATTGTCATATGGTGTACATGTACATGTAGATTGTAGATATTCAATACTGAAAAATACCTCACTTGACGAGTCTGCAAGGTCTTAACTTTATTCTCATCTGCAATACGACCAGTGTCCTCTCATTCATTGTACAAGATTGGCTGATATTCAAAACTTCCTGAGCCCCATCCAATGTGATAGGAAAGATGTTTGGGGTAAAACCATGCTCTATTTTGAAATTTGTCCATGAACAATTTCGTGGGAAGTTCATTGACAGTATGACACGAGATGTTAAATGTTGGAGGCAAAAATTGTCACAGTTTCCAATAGCATCTACATCTATAGCAGCGACACCTGTGCTGCAGTGCAATGTGAACCAGTCAGAATTGCCCTGAGGAAGATGACAGATAGTCACCGAAACGTTGGCTGTCAATAAAACACTTGGTTGTGTAAAAAGAGTCTCTTTACTCAGTAACATACCAACCTGATGAAATTATTTACTGAGTTTCCAATAGGGTTTAACTTGTATCTTTCCTCCTTCCTTTTTCTACACACACGTGTCTCCCACCCTTCCAGTAGCCCAGCGTCTCGTGTTCACAGCGCGAGACCGCCGCCGGCCCCCTTCTCCCCTCCCCCGGACTTCCGGCCGCTCTTGGGCTGCAAATGTACCATCTGTTACGCTCTCCAGACCTACGGACAGTCGGCGCCGCAGCCGGCCGAGGGCAAAAACGGCTGCACGACAAACAGCAGAAAAGTTCTGCACAGGTATTGGTCGGTTCCTTAAACAGCACATCCTGGTTTTGCTTGTCCCCTTGTCGTTGATTCACCATAGTTTTTGTTTTTCTAATTTTCACAGACTTCAATCTATAATTGCAGTTCTACTTCTTTCTTTGCACAGATTTGCAAGCAATTCATAAATTATGCTAAAAGTCAATTACAAGGTAGAGCATTAGTTCTTACTAGTTAATTCTTGATATTTCCTTTCTATATTTTCTTTCAACCTTTTCAAAGTGGGACAAGCTATCAGCTGTTGCTGTTTAAGAAACTGGCCAATTTCTGATACACCCAACACTTGCATGATTGTACACTTTACCATTAAACAACATGCATGGCTTTTAACATTAAAGGAAAAGAACTGTTGGCATGTACTAACGACCAGTTTAACTTTTAATGTTAGTAGAATTATCCACAACAAAGTTACCAGATGTCATTAGATTTTTTACCATGCTTGCGATTCCCTTATATACAGTCAAACTTGTCTGTAGTGACCATACAATAGACATGAAAATAGAGAACAATTATATTTAGACAGGCAGTAAAAAAAAAGTGGTCACTGGTACAGGTTTGACTGTATGTTGCACCAAAGGAATATAATTATATAAAAGAATGTTAGTTGCCTTAACTATGTATAACATACAGTACAGTGACTGAATTTTGATGAATTTCTCTTGTGTTTCAGACCCAAGTTCCATGTCCAGTTAAATGACCACGTGGTGTTGCGCGGAGACCGTACCGGTCTGGTCCGGTATATCGGACACCTGGACAACGTAGGAGCACCAGCTGTCGTGTATGTGGGAATAGAATTAGATGCACCAAGTAAGGAACAGATTTTTTGCATTGGGCTTGTACTCCGATTAAACCTAGCACTGTAACAGTACAGATATCAATTAACTTACCTTCCCACACATTTTACACATACAGTAGTTTTATCATGTTTATTTCTATTGCAAAAAAGTTGTGTAAATAGCTGGAGATCAAACGATCTTCTGAATGCAAGGCAAACACTGTACCCACTTGGCCATTGCACGGGTCTTGGGGCATTGTGTCTCTGGTAACAAAAAATCAAAATGTTATAATTTCTCTTTTTTTGTTTGTACACAGTTGGCAGACATGATGGTTATGTTAGTGGAAAACGCTACTTCTTTTGCCATCGCAACCACGGTGTGTTCGTCCCTGTCCAAGATGTCATATGTATCATAAATAAACAGGTAGGTACAGCAGAAGTCAGTCCACCTAGGACTAGTGAGCCACAGTTGGAAACATACTCTTAGAAGTTCAATGATTGTGATGTCTTAGTCATTGTCAAGGACAAAGGGCAAATGAACAGAGCTGTCTAACAAAAATTCTTTCAGTTCTGGTAGTAATTATGTAACAATCAGTGTGCTGCTACTAAGGGGTATGGTTTGGATAGGCAACAGCAAAAGTATACAAGGTGGCAAGATGGTCTTGTGTTTAGGGTTGACTTAGAATCTAAAGGTTTTGAAGCCCAGGCAGGGGTTCTGCAATTAATACCTATTTTTGTCCTGACATGTTAAACTGTTACTTAGATTACTAAGGCCACAGTTGGACAAGAAGTGGTCATAGTTTGTATCATATACTTGATAAAGTTATTTTCTATTTTTTTTATTCATTACTACAGCAGCCACAAGCAAACCGTCGACCGCACACTGTTGACGTGAAGCGAACCTCGTCTGGGTCCAGCGAAATGTCCTCGGGTTCAGGCCAGTCAAAATCCTCGCAGTCTAGTTCTGGAGTCGAGTCCAGAGATTCAAGTTCAAAAACAAGCTTCGAACTACAGGAAACAAGTCCTAAAAGGAACGTCCGATCACCAACATCGCAAGGGAGAAGTAGAAACTTTCATAGGTAAGCTTCTTGTCAGGTTTTTTTTTTGTTCTTTGAGCCTTCTGTAACATCTTGGTATTATTTTTCAGTACAGTTACAACATGTAGGTGTCAGTGTGATCCAATTATCTCAACAGCCAATCAGCAAGAGCCACCAGCTGCAAATTGGCCAATCAGGCCATTCACATGCTGTCTATACCAAATATGGTCACAATAAGACTGTTAAGTTTGACATTTTCACAACATCATCCACACCTGACTTTTAAAGATGTTATTGTTATTCATAAATGTCCTATGCTATGTAATTTTTCTGCTTTTATTGTATGAAGGAATTGATTTAATAGTGTTTTCTTTGTCTTTCAGAACAAGTGAAAGCAAGATAGAAACATCCTCCGTCTAAGATTGGTAGTACAGGTATACTTGTGGAGCTGTCTTCTGGGCATTTCTTGCAAAAAAAATCCTGCTAGGAGGTAGAAATTACAACAGTATACCAGTAAATCAACAGAGGAATCAACTACATACCATGGAAATTCAGTATTTTTACATACCAGGAAAAGTGAAAGGGTTGTCTGGTTTTTAAAATATTGCTACCGCGAATATAAAGTGATTCACAGTATTCTGTGTGCTGTTACCGGTACATCTTGAGATCATGACAGCAAAGAAGTACAGTTGAATGCACATCTAGAGGATGAGAGGAGAGATAGCACAATAGAATTATATTAGAATAAACATGTCAGATTACAATGCTGCTTCAAAATGTCATAAAATAGCAAAAAAAAAGTTGCTACAAACAGCAAATTTTACAGACTTTTTTACATTCCTTTAGCCTACACCATTCATGGTTGGAACTGCATATAGGCTTGGTCAAACTGAAAAAAAAAATGATTTTGGCAAGACCATGCCATTTTTTGTGTCTTGGGGACCTTCAAGTTTGGCACATTTCTTTGCATCACACTGTGCATACTCAGTTTAAACAATAATACAGAGCCTGCTTATACAGGGTGTACATGCGTGTAAAATAAGTGTTATTCAGGACCAGACCAGACCAGACCAGAACTGCCCTTCAGTAAGAGAGATAAAGAAAAGCCACATTTAACAATTTTGATAAGTTATTTACTTTTTAAGAGGTTATATTAAAAGAGACTTTCTGACATTAATGCTTTAAAATCTACATTCTCAAGTCTTACTTTTATTGTGTAAAGTAATTCCAACCATAAAGTCCTACATTGCTTTTCCACAAGGGGAAAAAAGGTATTTTCTGAGGTACATGTAACACAATTTTACGGTGCTTGTAGCAGCCAGCATGTCGGTAGAACGTACTGCAACTGGCCAAACCTTGTAATGTGTTGTGATTAGCACTTTGGCAGGACATATGGTTTAATGTCGTATTTCAGGATGACAATCTGTCTGTAGTTTCAAATGTTGTGTCAGAAAAGATACACTGTATCACCTACGACAGACAATTCTGATGCAACGTTAACCAGGCATCCAACAAAAACTGTGAAAAATCCAGGTTTTGCACAGGCACAGTATGTTCTGTTGAGGTGCTGTAAATGCTTGGGGTGTGTATTTGGAGATAGGTGTTAAAATCAACTATAATTCCACATAATTCGTGACTTTTACCCCTTTACTGAACAATTTTTCAACAACCCTAACTCTGATTATACCAGGTAATGTTGCAGTATTTTTATACTTGTTCTGCAAATAGTGCCAGTGTAAATAGTGTATTACATATATACATATTATATATATATATAAAATGATGTAGTTGTTGATATGGTATTTTTTACAACTGTTCTGTGTTGTTTTGTACTTGTTTTGGAGGGTGGTGTAGGGTTTTCACTCACCACAAAAACACATTTTTGTGTCATCATTGTTGTGAGAATGACTACACATTATGTGCATCAGTATTAAAATGAACTTCGTTTTGGAAATACTATAATATGTTAGAGTATTAAAATCATTTTCAGGTGATGTACAAGATATACCATTAGTAGTAACCCTCATTCATAAAAGTCATAATTTTAGTCAAATGCTGTAAATGTAAAAGATTCTATTTGCCTTAAAGCTGATGGCATTCCTTACTTCTTCAAGTGGTAAAATCTTGGGATCCTTGACTTAAAATTTGTTGCTTTCCTTTTAAAAAGCTTTCATATTAATCATTCTGCAAGAAAATTGTTACTCCAGCAACTGAATAGATTTTGAAAACTGATAGATGTTTCAAGTAGCATCCACTACTTTTTGTCATAAGCATCCACTACTTTTTGTTGGTCACTGACAAAGAAGTAGTAGATGCTACCCAAAACATCTGACAGTTTTCAAAATGTATCCAGTTGCTTGAGCAACAATTCCAAGTGTACATGTATATTATTACCTGGATGTCTAACCTTCATCAACATTGATCATTCTGATGCACATATTGGTAGTCTTTCATGTCCTTTTTTGTTTTATGGCCATAAACGATGTGTCATAAAAAGTTGACAACTACCCAGAATTTTCTGGAGGTAGGACTAAATGTGTGTGTGGTGTGACCTTGTCCCTCATTTGTTTATTATTGCTTCCAATGGTGTAAAAATTGAAACATAATCATGCTATTTTTTACAGAATATGATACTTTTTTTGCGTAGTAATTTAGCGTGATCAAAGCGAGATACTGGCAGCCACTACTTTCTTCAATAAGAATTATGTTGCCCTCCCAACTTACTAGGATTATATATGCAAGATACAAAATTTATATTCTGATGCTTGCTTGTCTGTCTCTATGTTTTAATATTTGCTTGGGCGATTGTTTCTAATTCGAATTGTACTGTATTGAATACAGTACTTTGTATACTACACCAGACAAGTGTAACATTCTGGGTCTAGAAAAGGGCCTTCAAGCTTTGCAGTCTTTTCCATGACGTAGATATTTTGTTAACAATTCTTGTAGATATGTTACAAGTTCAACCAAGGAGAATTCAGTGGTTTTATATACTAACAGTTACTGTCTTAACCTCTTGCAGTGAATTTTGGAACAAGAAAGTGAAAATGGAGCCTTCCTAAGCTTAGGATTCAACTGCCATACAATTTTACCTTTCAAAAATGAAATGTAACACACATGCGAGCATTGGGTAACGAATGTGTGTGTTCAATGTACAAAATGAAGTTTCTGTATTTTCAGACGTTTTTTCTATGCCACTCGATGTTTGTGTTGAAATGCCCAGACCTGACATTTTTGCACCAAAAATTGAACTATAATTTTATATATTAATTCATGTGATTGCAATTAACTTCCTCTTGTCAACATATTTGTGCAATTGTGTCACATTTCTGACATTATACAGAGAAGGCACCACAAATTACAGAATGTAAACAAACATGGCTGACAGCCGTGTTTCCAGTTTTGAAACACACTCGTAAGACGTCATATTTTGGCACCTCCACTTTCTGAATAGCACTTACTGCAATGAAATAAGGTTGATTCAACTTACCTTAGTGACGAAATTACCAGAAAATTTACTTTTTGTATCATCCAATTGTTACATAATGCAGCTTTGAATTAAGTTTGATAATGTTAATGTACTTACTGTACAGGGCCGGGTGTTGGAAGCTGTTGGTCTCAAGTTAACTTTATTCTAACCTCACGTTGTCTTTGAGTGTTAACGGGGGTGTCAGTGTGAATAACGTTCACCACTTGTACATGTGTTTCTCTCTCGGGATTCAAGGAAAATACAGACATACAAATAAACAGTTAACAAAAGATTTCTTTTAGTTTGTTTGATTCTCGTATTCTTGTTTCTTTATTTTATTATGATTTGCATATCTGGTGACTTGATATTTGCTAAAGTGTAACCAGCAAGATATAATGTATCAAAGTTTATTAAAATACAAATACACAATGTCATGTACATGTACATACAAAAAGTCATAGTGCATATTGATAGATCTTTAAGGCTATGTCATATACACAGGCCTATATCGCTGTATGATAAGAAAATTCTTGTACATGTTTAAGCATGGGCGATAGGCCACCAACTTTTTGTTGAGATCATTGTTACTTTATTTAAATATATACTTAGGTAACTGAACAACAAATTCACTGTGCACTCCGTACAAGATTCCCAGATTATGCTTATTCATTGTGTGTTGTGATTGCAACGGACTGAGTGAGTACATAGTGTATGTTATAATATACCCAAAACAATCAAGTTGTAAAATAGTTTTTAATGGTTTACAACACAACATAGTTTTCAACAAAAACTCGGTGGCCTAGCGCCTGTTGTTTAAGTTGGTGCCAGCACCTTAAGTTTTTACCTAAACAATACTCCCTATGGAACAAATTCAACGTGCTTGAAATTCTGTTTGTTGTAGATTGCAAAGATATCACAATTCATCCAAAAAAATCATCCATAATTTACAAACAACTGAATTTACTCGCAAAACATGATCAATGATAACAATTACTTATCAAAATTAAAAACAGTAAGAACAAGAAATCGCATATTTCACCCTTCCGGAAAACATGAATTTCCCGATGTTGACCTCTAATTCCTGCTGACCTACATGTACATGTATGATGTCATGTCATTCTGCCTGTCAATCCTTAGCGACCCTTGTGCTGTCAACCTAATCTGTCCTGACAAACATATTGTTCGTTTATTTCACACTCGACAGCCCATAACCCATACACAAACCCATTTTAAAACATCAAAGTATGTACAGTTGGTTGTAAATAAAGATTAGGACTACCAAGGACATTATGTGTCATTATGTGTATAATGTCCTTGGGACTACCGAGCTGTCCTGTCATATACACAGCAACCAATAACAATACCATATTTACCTTCGCCAAGAAGGTTATGTTTCTTGAGGCGTTCATGTGTGTGTGTTTGATATCTCATGACCTAGATATGCTAGGGTCACGAAATTTAGATGGTAGGTACGTAGCTCTTGGGCCTACCGGCTCGCTGTGGAACTGCAGGGGCATTTGTTTTGATAATATTCATTATGATATCACACCACTCTTGTAGCAGGGTCACATGATACCATTTCCCATGGTGGCATTTCTGCACCTTTTTGTGGTGTTGTCTTGTTCGCGTTGTGTTTCCTCCTCCAACAGTAGTAAAGTATTCCTATCATCGTCAAGAGAATGGCGACGGCCAGTACAACGTATCCTGCAATAAGTCCGCCATTCACGTTGTTATTACTACTATTCCTTCCTGAAATCATGGTTGCCAGGGTGGTTGGCGGTTGCGTGGTTACCAGGGCGGTTGGTCGTTCTGTGGTTGTCATGGTTACCGTGGTGGGTCGTTCTGTTGTCGTCAGGTCGAAACTTCGGTTATTACAGTTATCTGTTGTGCAGCACTGGGCATAATCTGTGTTTAAAAAGAAAATTGAATGCTGGTGTTGCATGTATTTTTGAATTCATATATGCATGAATGTCAAATTCACATTATTGTTAAATATTTGAAAAAGCTAGTTCTGTTTCTGCGATTAAGAAACCGTACTAGGCATCCAGGCTTGTGGCGACGTGGCAATGTTGAAAACAAAGAAAACATTCGACCTTCAACACAGCAAGTGCACAAATAAATTAAACGTGAAAAGTGAAAAAAATGCGGTCAATATTCTTGATTTAATTTTAACTTTAGCCCACGAAATCATGGAATATCATGCAAAATATTATTTTTTGTCTTTGTGTACAAACATATATTTTTGTATTTGAAGTAAAAATTGTACCTGGTGTAGTGCCATTTTGGGCCTCCTCGCAATCCAAGGCAGTTGCGCACCGTCTCCTTACGGCGTAAAACAAGCCAAAGTTCAATACTGTAGCCTGAAAAAAAATGACGAACAGTCACCGGTCTGATATCGTTACGGCCGCCGCGGTCATATTCATCGCAGGTCGTCGCTAGTCGTTTTACAAATCGGATGTCACCCAGGCTATGTATTGGGTATCTCCCCTGAGATTGTAATTGAATTTTTCTGTGGGATCTAACGTATTGAAATCGGTTGAACAAGTGGAAAGAAAGGTGAACAGCAATAGGCGCTTATCATTGTATAGTGTACAATCCATTATAAAATGGTGCTCATTTTCAATCATGTTTGGACAATATAGAAAAGAAGACATGATACATAGTTTTCTGTGTTCAGTGACTGTATTTTTGCAGGTTACAAAGTAAAATTTCACACAAATACGACAATAATTCATATTACATGTACAACAAACGCTATATATCTACGCATGAAGTCATAACTAAATTCGCATGCATATTCGAGGTAAGGTAAGGTAATAAACGTCTTAACTTGTGGTCGTCTTCCATTGCCGAAACAGCTATTTTCAACTATGTCAACTATTGTAAAATTTTACAATAGTTGCTGGTCATTGCCACAGTGTTATGCAGGCTTACGTTTGCAATTAAGATTGCTTCTTAATTGTACGTGCATAAAAACTTCATCCATAAAATCAGTCACACTACAACACAACTCAACTACCAGTAGAAACCTCAATTGAAACATAATACATAACATTACACTATACAGTGTGTACTTGTTAAACCGTGACGAACTCATACAATAATCTTTACAATTATATTACAATAAAGACGATTCCAGTATTTCTAGTTAAGTTGTATTGTGCGTTTCGTGTTTCTTATGTGTTTCTTTCACATGAACAATGTGATGCATTGTGAGTTATAGTATATGTCAAACTTAAAGGCCCCTGAGTCAGAAACAAAATTCGTCTAGACATGGTAGTAAGAATGGTGCCTTTGACCCTATGACCTAAGAGCTTTCACCTTTGACCATCTGAATGCGCAGTTCAACCGTGAACCAGCTTATACTGGTTCTACAATGCAGTAACGGAGTCTTGCTTTTCTTTTCTGTGCTTTATGTAGTAGATGGCGCCAGCCGCCATCAACAGCACAGCGACACCGGCCACGCTGCATCCTGCGATCACTCCGGCGCTCATGCCCCCAGTTTGGCCCTCCGCCTGCGTTGTTAAGCTGGAAGATGTGCTCGTAGTCACTAGAATAGCTGTGGTTAGTGGCAGCGTCGTTGTCCTCACTGTAGTGGTTGGAGGTGGGGTGGTTGTTACGTCAAAGAGCCTGTCGTTGCAGGTGTTGTTTTGGCAACACTGGCCGTATTCTGTATCACAAAAATGACAAGAAATGATCAGAAAACATTCGACCTTCGACAGAATTCTAAGTAACATCTAAGTTGGATATTGTTGAATTATACATGTATCAACACAGCAAATGCAAAAATGACAAAAAACGTGAAAAGTGAAAAAAATGCGTTCAATATTCTTGATTTAATTTTAACTTTACATTTAAATTTAATCTTAACAACACAAAATCATGGAATTACATAAAAATAGTATTTTTGGTCCTTGTATACAAATATATATTTTTGTATCTGAAGTAAAAATTGTACCTGGTGTAGTGCCATTTTGGGCCTCCTCGCAATCCAAGGCAGTTGCGCACCGTCTCCTTACGACGTAAAACGAGTCAGAGTTCAATACTGTAGCCTGAAAAAATGACGAACAGTCACCGGTCTGAAATTACGGTCGCCGCGGTCATATTCATCGCAGGTCGTCGCAAGGTCTATATTATTTTTATATTCCAGCACGTAATCACAAGACGTGGTGACGGCACACTCAAGTTATGCCGCCACCAATACAGGGGACAATGCAATACTCATTTTCACCTGAGCGAAGTGAGGAAAGTCGTGTAAAGTGCCTTTCACATGGGCACAAGATAGGTGGCATGTCAGGACTCGAACCCGGGACCTCTTGGTTCCGAGTCGAGCACTCTGCCACTACGTCACACGACCCCACGGTCTATATTTGAACCCCGCCTGAACATGGTTCTAGATACATGTACAACATGCCTGCCTTATATCGTCGTTGTTTTTTTTCTGCCAGGAACTTTAAACTGTTTTAAAGCTCCTGTGATTGGACCATTTGCATATGCCAATCATTCCCACTAATGGTGTTTACTTTAAAATTGTTACATTATCATTGTTTTGCAAAAGGCATGGAAAAGATTCTTTTTATTGCTCTTTTTAAGACACAGAAAGTAAATGTTATGCTTTAGATCTACGTACATACACACGTGTTGAGTTTTGAAGAAATTTAGTTCATGTGATGACAAGAAAATGCAAAAAAAATTGTCGTGTGATATCCTTAAGTCTTAAATATTTGGCGTCTGTAGATTCGAAGATGTTATCCATATTGCTTACTTTTTGTGGCCTAAGTACCTAGCATTACCAATGGCCTATGGATTACCACTCAAGCAAGTAACTGCGTCTGAATGGGTTAAGTTTTCTTTTGACAAACGCTTGGACAACTACAGTGAAGTGACATGGTTCCGCTCTGCTTGCATCCTTACGAAGGCCCATGGAGCATTGTGAATGACGCGTCCTTTTCCTATAGAAACTCAGGTCTCGTTTTTAAAACAAGAACCGCAGCTAAGCTTTGTTTATCAATGATTATCTTATCTAGGAAAGTGTTACTTTTTCGTGTGTTGTGTTTTTGTTACGTTGCGTTGCCGGGTAGGACTTGGTCGAAAATGCTCCCGGTAGGGGTTTAAGGCAACAACATTGGGGTTACATAGGCATACACTGTGACTTGTAAGTATCCCTCCATGGTCGCTTAAGAAAATTGCTACACCGCTCTTTAAGTGAATGCAATCTTTATATGGGTCCAAGTAAATGTAAGGATATCGAGCATATTTAATTGAGAAGTTTAGAAAGAATTTGTGCCCTGAGGCTAAATTACAAACATAAAAGAATTGAAATAGAGTATAAAATAACTAAAACCTAGATAATGAAAGGTAGTTATAGTCTAAAACTATAGCTATGTCTAAAACTATGTCTGAAGGGTTTGACTTCTCTTCTGTAAACCATGGAAGACGTAATGTCCCACCTTTTGCAACATTTGTGGGTTTTGGAAAGTCACAAGAAGAATAGTTTTTTCACTTGTTTTTGTAATATCTAGTGCGCCGTTCAAGAAATATATTTCCTCCTTCGTTCAGCATTGACTATAATAAAATGCTAATTGTTAATAGCCCTACAGCTTCGGCTATGGCTGAACATTCATATACGAGAATGGCAGTATCACACCTTTCTTTTCGAGGTTCAACTACTCGAATATTAAAAGAGTGCACTACCAGAACGGCGTCGTCCTAAATGATGTTAATTTAAAAGTACTTCTTGGAGACTAGAGTCGGGGGTCTCTCGGAAAGTAGCTAAGACATCATTTTCCGCACCAAGACATCAGAATTGTGTACGACACATGCACGACTTACCAGGAAAGATCGTACAAAGATCGTACGACTACAGTATCCACAGCTTTGATACTGGATTTTCTTTTTTATAATATTTACTTAATTGCGGTGGAATTGCTCCAGTGGATAAAAAGGTACAAGAAGTGCTCACCTGACATGTATCCTTATCATCGGTACAGTTTTCCCTCTCTACTGAGCTCGAGAAAGGATTTTGAAGACAGGTGTAGAAATCATCGTCACCGTGAAGCGCCTGACATTTGTAACACGTCAGGTTAGTCTGGCCAGCAACATGCCCTGTACATGACAAGGAAGTGAGGTTTTAAGACAAAATCGTTTGTACGTATTGCAACTATATCTACAAACAGACAAATGAATTTAAAGGAACTTACATACACAATCAACATGTTGAGTCTAACCTACCGTTTTAACTGAATGAAAAAGACGAGATCTTAAGTCCTTAATATTGTACAACAAATGTGTAAAACTTCATGGCAAATTCCAACAGCGTCACAACCTTTACTTCAAAATAAGAATTCATTCTATGTTTTCCTATCACTCAAACCTAAAGAGAAATTTCAAACGAGAATTATATATTTTGCTATCCCCACGAAGGCTTAGGTTTTCTTTTGGAAGAACCCTTTACGCGTGAAATTTTATTTTATCAGCATCAGCCGACGCGTGTTTTTAATTACTCAAAGGAATTTTGGCATTAGAAAAGTTTGTTCGTTTCAACTATCGATGGTAATTACAGATGTTACTCTCGTAATTAAAAATGGCGCTTCCGTACAGAACTTAAACAAGGGTCTTTTGTACAAAATATTTAACTAATCAAAATTTTAAACATTCTAGTTTAGCCTTGGAGCAATGCTGTAACCAAATCACGTTTCCTTGGTTTTTAAAAAAGTGTAAAGAAATTATTCCAATCTATTCGCGCCTTTATATAGTTTTCATACGTTGAGTAACGGGGAAAATGAAAATCACTTACCAACGAAGAGGGCTAAAACAAATCCAAAAACAGCGGTGAAGGCCATCTCAGTGTAACGCAAGTGAACGCAGGAAGCTCTATGTGAAAGAACCTGACCAACCAAAAAAGTCACTGTTTGGGGGGTTCGGACTGCGTGTAGCCCCTGTCAACCAACCAACAGCGTGGTAACAAAACAAGTGACCTGAATGACCAATTCAAATCTGACTCAGGCAGTAAAAAGAGTATCACACAAAAGAGGAGCGCGCGAAAACAAAGTCTGCTGTTTTTCATAACAGGGCTAAGAGTAATGTCTCAAAGGTTCAGTTTGTCTTTCCTTTACAGAGGAAATGGACCGTTATGAGTCTTTAAAAACTGTGAATCAGCGATTTTAACCACTAATGGCTTTGATGCGTCAGGCTTATTATAGTGTATGATGCACGTGTGAATAATTTAGCCAAATATGGGCATCTTCGACTATCTAGGACTCCTTTCTAATTATAAATTCTAATTGTAAAATTCTGACGTCACAAAACATCTGTAGAGTATTTACAGTTTTTGCCTGATAGACCCACACTTTTGTGCCCCGCATTTGGAACTGCAGAGGCGTTTGTTTTGAAAAGGAGGGCAACTCAAAACCAGAATTTTTGTACTTTCATGAAAGTTCCTCTGTGTTGGTAGATACATGTTTAAAGTTAAAACGTTTGGTCCCACTCAAAGAGATTCTCTCAACTAGAGCTTTCGACCAGTCACTCTGGCCTTCCTCAGTACTAGACTGACCCGGTGAGGCTTGTCATGTGGCTTCTTTGGTGGGTAGCCTTGAAGTTGATTCAGCACCAAGGACAAGGAAATGACATTGCCTTCATTCGCGACTGTATCACACCAATGTAACTTCACCACCTCTAGTTTCATTTTTGTATTGTTATAAGAATATTCTTACTTTAACTTCCAACTACCACCTAGCTCATGAAATACACCTTTGAAATATAGAATTTAGGGGGAAAGCAGTGAATTTAGGCCCGTTATACTTAGGTGTACATTGTTAGTATTGAAGCCAAGGTATATTACAAGATGTTTTATTCCATAATCACAAGGCAAGCTAATATCATATTACATCCACACACACTCAATGTTTGTTTTTTGAAACACAAAAGGATATTCATACATGCACTCATGTCTGGTAAGATGTATATTCATCTTTCTTTCTTTGCTCCTCCTCTTGAAATTGTCTCGACGCCCCCTGCCCCCCACATGCAGACCAATTGGAGTGAAAAACACATGAATTGTAGATTGGGATTTCTGATTACATAACGTGAGGCTACGACATTTTGCATAAGAGAGTATCAAGTTGGTCAGGCAGTATTATTGGGTCCAATACGCCACCCAATGGATACTGCCTGGCCAATTTGATATTTTCTTATGCCACCTTAGGATCTGCTTGGAGATTAACATTTTGCCACCTGTCATTCTATTGTTATGAAAGCTGAAATCGAAGTAAAAAGAATCCTGTCTCTGGGCACTTAGATGTGCTGCCTCAGCTCAAAGCCTACTTCTCACATATAGGAAACATTAGAAGAGTAAAGACAAACAATAGTTATTCCAACACTTGTGCAAACTTTATTTCTTCATATGCTGATATATACATTTCACTAAGAATAAACAGAAGATCAATAGTGCAATGTTACATCAAAAAATTACCTTAAATCTCATGAAATGTACAAGTATACTTAGGGAATCATCGGCAACGTATTTCTACAAATCTACATGAGAAAATGTTATTAAAATAAGAGGAATAAGAGAAAAAATTGAAATCAAGCTAGTATAAAAATAGCAAGCAAGCAAAAGTAATCTAGAAACGGAACGTAAAACGGAACGTACTTTTGTACAGGTATAAAGTAAAGTTTTCATGTAAAAATTAATCTTAAAATTCTATATATCAACACAGTTTCAAATATTTTATCAATCAGATTATTCCAGCAGATTATATTAATGTTCTAGTCTGACTTTGAAATTGGAATTTTAAACAATGCCAGACGATCAACTAAAGAATTAATTGTAAGAAATGTATTGACTGAATAATGAACATGTAGCTTGAAACTGCTTACTTTAGTTTCTCAGTCATCATAATCACAAAGATTTTTATGATTCAGACCTTCTGCAGATGTGTTGTACGCGTAGCTTGTAGAGTTTATTGATCTGTATACAGGGTGGATGTTACATTTCTTGGAACGACATGTTCCGAGTAGCGCTCTGTGTTTTGCGAGGCGGCCACAGTTTCGTGATACAATCCTCCCACAGAGTGGGTTTTGGATGTCATAGTAGCTTCCAACTGCGTACTGTATTTTATATCGTCATTATTGTGACGAAGATGCTCGTAATTCAAACCTTCTGCAGGGTGGTTTTCATGTTTTCCATCATCGTCATCATTCTCATAAAGATGTTCCTGACCTTCTGTAGAGTAGTTTTCATAGTTTTCTACCGATGGTGTATTCTGGTTTTCACCAGAGGTACCCAAATGTCCGCCATGCAAGCCTCTTGTAGAGGTGCACTGGTGCGAGGAGTTTACTATCGGCGATGTAATTTGATGTGCAATTGGCTGTCTGGGATTCGAACCCCCTGCGACAGTTTCGTTGTACGAAATGTTTGCTATCGGTGGCACGATCTGATCTAACTGAATGGGAGGTTGGTGTGCACCTGGTTGTCTGGAGTTGGAGCCTTCTGCAACAGTTTCGTTGTACAAAGTGTTTCCTATCGGTGGCACAATCTGATGTGAGTGAATGGAATGATGAGCTATGTTGGTATCTTCCCGACACATATTTTTCCTCATGAGCCGGACGAGGCAAGCAATCAGACATACAGTCAGACATGTTTCAATCAAGAAAATAGCGATGTATTTGATATTATTTTCTTCCTTCAAGCCCATAGATTTCGCAGCCGTAGAAGCACTAGTTGGTGAGGCATTTGTTGGCATTCTTGCCAAGCTTGGTTCTTTCGTCACAAATGGGGACTGTATGTTGTTCTTTATAGAACCGTTGGTGAGAAAGGTGACACTTTCTGTGCTCTGTAGTTTGGTCTCGGCTTGGTGGGTCGTTCCACAGTCCGTCAGCTGGGTGGACACAGTGGAAAAATGCCGTCCACGCAGCTGACTCGGACTTTTGCAGTCAAAAATTATATTTTCATATCCGGGTAAACGGATATGAAGAAAACAGGCCATACATGAAGAACAACAGGTCTGTCCATCTTTTCCCTTACAGGCTTGTAAACACGCCATTTTCACAATCAGCCAGGAAAGATCACAGTCACAGTGAAAGGGGTTATTGTAGATTAATACTTCGGTCACCTGTGGCCATCCCAGCGCGTACGACGAGAAGGATGCAAGTTTGTTCATACTTAGATTTACAGATTTCAGTTTCGGGAGATGCGCAATAACGATGTCGAGCTTTACGTACTTCAGTTGGTTCCCTTGTAGCTCAAGAATGGCCAAAGCTGGCAAAGTCCGCAGAGACATCCAGGACACACTTTCAATAGAATTATAGCTCAGGTCCAGTGTGTACAGTTTGGGCAGTGGCGGCAGATACGTAACGTTTCTGATGTTGTTGAACGAGATATCGAACCTCACAGTGGTGGACGGTATATCACTAGGAACCGTGACCAGACCCAGTTTGGTACAGTCCACCAAAGAAGTGGACATAACATTATTGACTTCACAGTTTTCCGGTAAACAAAAACATCTTGTCCACAAAAATCCCAAAGTAAACAACAAAGACATTGAACTTACTTTCATGATTGTTTGTTTTCTTCTTTGTGGAAGAATACTGAATTTCTGAGCGTCTCGCCTCTACAGTCCTCGGCGTTTTCCTACAAAGCCTACAAGCTGATCGACATTAACACTTGTTCACATTAGCCACAATGAATTCGCCTTAAACAAAATATTATTGTAATTGTACGTTTTAGTAAAACAGCAACTGTACCTCACTGTCTCTGTTCATTGCACTGAGCAAGAAGCTGTTGTGAGACCGTTGATGAGAATCTCTTCTATTTGAAGCAAAGTCCATAACAACGTGGTCTTGACGCGGGTGCCAAACAGATTAAAGTCCTTGAGCGTAGGCGTCTGTTTCGTAACGTCTCAATGTCTGTGAATAATATACATGTTTTGGCATAACTCTTTTTCCAGTCATGTGATGTGAAAAAGCTTAGATGTGAAGAATAGGTTTAGCGTATTCCTCTGAACAAATCTGTGTTCTTGAAGACCCACTTACATATATAGGGTCTAGGAAATACACAGCAGATGTTTTCTTTGAGGTTAACGTGTGTATATGCTCTAATCTGTATCTGTAAAGCCGGTATAACACCGCCCTTCGGCATAACACATGTGCACCTACTTTGCAAACACCCGTCGCGTCGACAGCTTTTACGTTTGCAAAAGAGTTGAGAACGTATGTCGTCACTGTCTGATACAGTCCACCGTGTTAATGGACATTTTTGACTTCACATTCATCCAGAATAAGCAATAGTGACAGAGTTACAGTCAAATTCTGTATATTCTTCGCAGACGCACTGTCACGGACTTTAATCAACAAACCCATCAGCCCCTCACGTCCAGAGATTATTCAATACAGGCTAGCTAACGCACATGTCAAGCCCGCATGTGTTTCTTCTTGCGTATGCATGAATGCGGCAGACGTCACGCACGTATTCTGATGCTCTTGCCTTTGCTTCAAATAGAAGACATCCGACGGCTGCTTGTTGAATACGATGAAATAGGACAGGAAAGTACAAATATTGTTTTACTAACTAGATACGTAGGCAACTGTATTCCTGGTTAGAACCGTATAGAGCATATACAATCCATAAGGTAATGTGCTGTGTTAGTAAGCCTATACTCGTATAGATACACAACCATTGGTGGCAAATGTGGCCCAATATTAATGTTTATTAGCTTTTAGGCTTCTTTTAGCAAACACTGAGCGCCACAGAGTAGAGACGCTCCAAAAATTGGGCATAGTATAGTAGTCTGCCAAACAAATAGAAACAACATGAAAGTAAATGCAAGGTCTTTGCTCGTTACCGTGGGATTTCTGTGTACAGGATGTTTTTGTTTACCGGATGGATGTGGCGTTAGTGATGAGTCAAAGTACAGCTCTACGGTGATCGTTGACTGTTCCAAACTGAATTTCGCGACGGTTCCTAGTGATATACCTCCCAACGCTGAGTGGTTTACAATCAAATTCAACAACATCAGAAATGTTACATACCTGCCGCCACTGCCCAAACTGTACACACTGGACATGAGCTATAATTCTATTGAAAGTGTGTCCTGGATGTCTCTGCGGACTTTGCCAGCTTTGGCCATTCTTGAGCTACAAGGGAACCAACTGAAGTACGTAAAGCTCGACATCGTCATTGCGCATCTCCTGAAGCTGAAATTTGTCAATCTAAGTATGAACAAACTTGCATCATTCTCTGCGTACGCGCTGGGATTGCCACAGGTGACCCAAGTAGTAATCTACAATAACCCCTTTCACTGTGACTGTGATCTTTCCTGGCTGATTGCCAAGATGGCGTGTTTACAAGCCTGTAAGGGGAAAGGCGGACAGGCCTGTTGTTCGTCGTGTTCAGCCTGTTTTCTTGTTATGACCCCCGAAGGACTTTTTAACTGCATCAGTCCGCGTCAATTTCATGGGCGTCATTTGTCCGCTGTGTCCACCCAGCTGACGGACTGTGGAACGACTCACCAAGCCGAGACCAAACTACAGAGGGCAGAAAATGTTACCTTTCTTACCAACGGTTCGGAAACCAATGATACGCAAATCCAAAAGTTGAAGAAAATGCCCCACGAGAATAAGGGCTCGGCAAGGATTTCAACAAAACCTACACCGACCAGCGCCTCTAAATCAACTACCGAATACATAGACACGACAGAAAAACATTGGCATCAACGTCCAGTTATAATCACAAAAATCATTATTCCGCTGATGAACATCTGCCTAATTTTGATTTGTTTCCTTGTACGGTATCTGGTTATACGTGGTCTTTGCTGCAATCACAGGGAAGATGCCAACATTGGTGAAGATCGTCATTCCATTCCCTTACGTGTACAGCAGATGGTACCACCAGCAGCAAACCCTTTATTCCATAACACTGCTTCTGCAGGCGGCTCTAACCATAGACAGCTTGTTGTATGTCAGATTCACAACCCTCAGCGCGTTTCAATACTCAGCACTGAAGCTGGTTGTAGCACTGAGGCTGGTTGTAGCACTGAGGCTGGTTGTAGCACTGAGGTTGGTTGTAGCACTGAGGCTGGTTGTAGCACTGAGGCTGGTTGTAGCACTGAGGCAGGTTGTAGCACTGAAGCTAATTGTAGCACTGAGGCTGGTTGTAGCACTGAGGTGGGTTGTAGCACTGAGGTGGGTTGTAGCACTGAGGTGGATTGTAGCACTGAGGCAGGTTTTTCTGATAAAGACATATAGTTAATACAATTTTTGCCCGCATAAAGCAAATTTCAATGATTTGCCAAAACATCTATCATCCCGTCATACAACTTAATCATTTCGTTCCTTTTTTGAAATTATGACAAATACACAATTGCATGCAAATGTGTCTGTAAGAAAACATATTTACTCAAAGGAATACATTAAGTTGAAATCCATTCTTCCCATGTAAGGTTTTCAATTCAAACATAACTGGAAATACACAAGAGCAAAAGAGTTCCAGTAAAAATGTATATTCTTCACAGTTGAGGGGTTTCGAAGCAGACGCGCTGTCATGTTTTCACGTACTGTAATCAACAAACCCATCAACTTCTCACGTCCAGAGATTGTCTACCTGACTCACATGTCAAACCCGTACGCCGTTTCTTTGTGTATGGATGAATGCCACGTTGGCATTGTCTTTGCTTCAAAAGAAAAGATATTCGAATCTACGGTCTCACAATTGCTTCTTGTTCAATGCGATGACCCGGGACAGGGAGGTACAATTGCTAGTTTACTAAAATGATACCCATCAAAAATATTGTATTTCTGTTTAGGACTGTCCGACTGTAAAGCAAGTAGATCAAGAAGCGACAAGGTGATTGTCGTTCAAATGCTACAGATGTAATAATATTTAATTTATTAGCTTGTAGGCTTTGTTGTCAGACACTGACAACCGTAGAGGCAAGGTGCACCGATTCGAAATTGGGTATTTTGCCAAAGACAACAAAACAAACATGAAAGTAAGTTCAAGGTGTTTGTTCTTTAGTTTGGGATTTTTTTGGTCAAGATGTTTTTGTTTACCGGATGGATGTGAAGTTAGGAAGCCAAAGCACGTCTCTATGGTATTAGTTCACTGCAGTCACCTTGGTCTCGTCACGGTGCCTAGTGATATACCGTCCAACGCTGAACGGTTTAATATCGCGTACAACAACATCAGAAACGTTACCTACCTGCCGCCACTGCCTCAACTGTACACACTGGACCTGAGCTATAATTCTATTGAAAGTGTGTCTTGGATGTCTCTGCGGACTTTGCCAGCTTTGGCCGTTCTTGAGCTACAAGGGAACCAACTGAAGTACGTACAACTCGACATCGTCATTGCGCATCTCCCGAAACTTAAATTTGTTAATCTAAGTATGAACAAACTTGCATCATTCTCTGCGTACGCGCTGGGATTGCCACATGTGATTCAGATAGGAATCAACAATAACCCCTTTCACTGTGACTGTGATCTTTTCTGGCTGATTATTGAGATGACGTGTTTACGAACCTGTAGTGAAAAAGATGGACATGTTTGTTGTTCTTCATGTTCAGCCTGTTTTCTTAGCAATTATATGGATAAACACGCACGGTTTGACTACAAGAGTCCGAGTCAGCTGCATGGGCGCCATTTGTCCACTGTGTCCACCCATCTGACTGACTGTGGAACGACCCACCAAACCGAGACCAAACTCCAGAGGGCAGAAAATGTTACCTTTTTTATCAACGGTTCAGAAACCAACGACACACACATCCAAAAGTTGAAGAAAATGCCCCACAAGAATAAGAGCTCGGCAAGGGTGTCAACAAGACCTACACCGACCAGCGCCTCTAAATCAACTACCGAAAACACGACAGAAAAAAAACCTGGACATCAACGTCCAGTTATGATCATAAACATCATTATTCCGCTGAACATCTGCCTAATTTTGATTTGTTTCCTTGTACGGTATGTGATTATTCGTGACCTTTGTAGCAATCACAGGGAAGATGCCAACATTGGTGAAGATCGTCATTTCATTCCCTTACGTGTACGGCAGATGGTACCACCCACAGCAAACCCTTCATCCCATAACACTGCTCCTGCAGGCGGGTCTAACCATAGACAGCTTGTTGCATGTCAGATTCACAACCTTCAGCGCGTTTCAGTACTTAGCATAGAGGCGGGTTGTAGCACTGAGGCAGGTTGTAGCACTGAGGCAGGTTGTAGCACTGAGGCTGGTTGTAGCACTGAGGCGGGTTGTAGCACTGAGGCTGGTTGTAGCACTGAGGCGGGTTGTAGCACTGAGGCTGGTTGAAGCACTGAGGCTGGTTGTAGCACTGAGGCTGGTTGTAGCACTGAGGCAGGTTTTTCTGATAAAGACATATAGTTAATACAATTTTTGCCCGCATAAAGCAAATTTTAATGATTTGCCATTGAAACGTCTATCATCCCGTCATGCAACTTAATCATTTCGTTCCTTTTTTGAAATTATGACAAATACACAATTGCATGCAAATGTGCCTGTTAGAACACATATTTACTCAAAGGAATACATTGAGTTGAGATTAATTCTTGCCATATAAGGTTTTCAATTCAAACATGACTGGAAATACACAAGAGCTAAAGAGTTCCAGTTAAAAATGTATTTTCTTCACAGTTGAGGGGTTACGAAGCAGACGCGCTGTCATGGTTTCACGTACTGTAATCAACAAACCCAGCAGCCCTTCACGTCCAGAGATTGTGTCTACCTGACTCACATGTCAAACCCGTATGTCGTTTCTTTGTGTATGGATGAATGCCACGTTGGCATTGTCTTTGCTTCAAAAGAGAAGGCATTCAAATCAACGGTCTCACAACGGCTTCTTGTTCAATGCGAACATACGGGACAGGGAAGTACAATTGCTATTTTACTAAAATGATATTGTATTTCTGTTTAGGACTGCCCTACTGTAAAGCAAGAAGATCAAGAAGCCACAAGGTGATTGCCGTCCTAATGTACAGATAGATATATTTATCTATCAGCTTGTAGGCTTTGTTGTCAAACACTGAAAACCGTAGAGGCAAGGTGCACCGATCCGAAGTTGAGTATTTTGCCAAAGAAAACAAACTAAACATGAAAGTAAGTGCAAGGTGTTTGTTGTTTACTTTGGGATTTTTGTGGACAAGGTGTTTTTGTTTACCGAATGGATGTGAAGTTAGGAAGTCAATCCCCCCCTCTAAGGTGTTAGTTGACTGTAGTAGCCTTCATCTCGTCACGGTGCCTAGTGATATACCGTCCAACGCTGTGCGGTTTGAAATCGCGTACAACAACATCAGAAACGTTACGTACCTGCCGCCACTGCCAGACCTGTACACACTGGACCTGGGCTATAATTCTATTGAAAGTGTGTCCTGGATGTCTCTGCGGACTTTGCCAGCTTTGGCCGTTCTTGAGCTACAAGGGAACCAACTTAAGTACGTACAACTCGACATCGTCATTGCGCATCTTCCGAAGCTGAAATCTGTTAATCTAAGTATGAACAAACTTGCATCATTCTCTCAGTACGCGCTGGGATGGCCACAGGCGACTCAAATACGAATCAACAATAACCCCTTTCACTGTGACTGTGATCTTTCCTGGCTGATTATCAAGATGGCGTGTTTACAAGCCCGTAAGGGAAAAGATGGACAGGTCTGTTGTTCTTCATGTTCAGCCTGTTTTCTTAGCAATTATATGGATCAACACGCACGTTTTGACTGCAAAAGTCCGAGTCAGCTGCATGGGCGCCATTTGTCCACTGTGTCCACCCAGCTGACGGACTGTGGAACGACCCACCAAACCGAGCTACAGAGCACAGAAAATGGCACCTTTCTTATCAACAGTTCGGAACCCAACGCCACACAGGCCCCATTGTGGAGCAAAGGAACCTACGAGAACCATAGTTTGGCAAGGATGTCAACAATTCCTACATCTACCAGCGCTTTAACATCTGTAAAGTCTATGGGTAAAAAGCAAGAAGAAAATATCCAATACATCATTCTTTTTATTGTTGAAAAATGCCTGACTGTAGCTTTTATTTCCTTCATCGTCCGGTTCATAGTGAGGTACAATCTGTGTTGTAATCGCCGGAAAGATCGCAACAAGGACGCAGATCACCATTCAATTCGGTTACATCAGATCGTGCCACCGATAGAAAACATTTCGTACATCGCAACTGACGCAGGGGGTTCGAACCCCAGACAGCCAATTGCACATCAAATTACACCCACGTCACCGATAGTAAACTCTGCACGCCAGTGTACCTCTGCAGGAGGCTTGCATGGCGGATATTTGGTTACCTCGGGTGAAAACCAGAATACACCATCGGTAGAAAATTATGAAAACTACTCTGCAGAAGGTTTGAATTACGAGCATCTTTATGACAATAATGACGATGATGGAAAATATAGTAAGCAGCTGGAAGCTACAACGTCATCAGTCAGTCCTTATATTGCAGAGCCAGAGGATTAATTCCTTAGTTGAGCGTCTGGTATTATTTACTTACTCTAATTTCAATGAAATAGTAGGGAATTTAGTTCTGTTGGAATAATATGATTGATATTGTTTCATAGAAACGTTGTATTTATGTGCATTTTTATCTGTGTTTTATATGGGTGAGTCATTCCTGAAATATAAAAAAAGAAAAAAAAGAAATCTTGAAAACCTTTGTTGCAAGATACCACATTGCAGATGTAAAGAGTCTGAATTGGGCACTGAGTGGGTATTTACATTCAATTTGTTTTACGTAGCGAGTGAAAACACAAGGAAACTTTACTTAGAAACATTACATTATATCTGTACAAAAATGAAGACCATTTTCAGATTATTGTTGGTTACTTACTATTAATGCTAGATTGATATTAAATTTCTCTTATTCCTGTTGTATTATCACATTTTCCAATATAGAATTGTAGAAATACGTTGCCAATATGGTTGACAAATTTTAAAGTATCCCTGTACTTAAGAGTTGTGATTCTTGTCTGTAAGATACTTAAAACTGCACTTTTGATGTTATGATATCAACATTTTGAAAGAATACATTTTGCACAAGTCTTGAAATGCTCAATGTCTGTCTTTTCTGCAATTCAGAATCCTATTTGAGATATAAAATGTTTTTCTTTTGTATCAAGTATTTCGGTAGATTTAGTGGCTGTGCGCAGAGACAGGATTCTTTTTTTTTTCAATTTCAGCTTTCATAACAATCATAGCCTCACGTTATTGAGTCAGAAAACCAATCTACAACCCACGTGTTTTTCTCATTTCTAGACGAATTGGTCTGCATGGGGTGGGGGAGCGCTAGAGACAATTTCTAGAAGAAGAGCAGAGAATGATGAATATACTCTGCCTGTGCTTTGCTCCATTTATGCATATCTTTTTGGAAACTCAACTGACAAAGATAGAATGGGATTAGATGTTACAGTAAGATTATTTTGCCTTGTGCTTATCCCATAAAAGATACTGTGGCTCCATTACTAACAATAATAAAAGTTAACATTACATGTATATCGACAGGATGCCTAAATTTGCCGCTTTTCCCTTAAATTACACATTCTAAATTTCATGTGCCAAGGGTTACTAGGTAGTGAGAGGAAGAATATTCTAGTAACAGAAAACAGGAAAATAGACGCAACGAACTGCATTAGTATGATACAGTGCTAAATGTTTCGGGCAAGGGTCATTTCCTTGTCCTTGGTGCTGAATCGCCTTCATGTAAATTAACCACGCTATCTTACCAATTCTCAGCCGTCTAACGGGGTTTAACAGCTCACTAAGGCTTCTGATTGATGTTTTTTTTTTCCAGTTTGCTACTGGTTGAACTCGTCACCCTGACCATATAATATTTGACGAAAATGTTTGCACATGTAACGCCCATAGGTTTCACAACAGAAAATTAGGAAATTTCTCGGACAGTTTTGTGTGTGCGCCAAACAAAATTATGACTTTGACGTGATTATGACGACGCTACGTTTATCTATATTTTATACTAAACAATTAAAGGGGCTTTCATGTCGATTTATGAATTTGCTGTCACGAGGAATTATGATATTTAGAAAACAGTATAATGGTTTATCAAGTACCTTTCTGCTATAGACATATAATAGAGCTTCCTGGCTAATCTAAATGATTCGTTCGTGAAAAAATGTATCAGAGATGCACTTAAGCCATTTATTTGGAGAAATGTTGCATCTTTACCGTACAGTTCTAAACTCCGTTTTAATTTACCAACAAGTAAATACATATTGACAGAGCAGAAGTGCAGGGCGTTCGTATGGCCATCTCAATATACTAGTGGTCTGTCACTGGACGTTCCTTTAGCCATTTCGCGACACCAGGGTTGGTCTTGACGTTATCAACGACTTTGTTGAGGTTGCAGTACCCATCTAAAGCGCTAGGGTACTCAGCCGTGATGAAGTCCATCATATTGAAGAACGCGATGTCAGCCCAGGTCAGCTGTGGTAATGAAAAAATAAAATAGAAAATAATTAATAATTAATTAACAGGACAAGAAGCATTTTTTTCAACAATGAATTAATGATGTGAACAATTCGAGCAATATTTGTGTATTTTAACCATGTAAACAGTTGTTTGTTGAATGTTAAAAATAAGTATGGTTTGAAACATACCGAGTCTCCGACGAAGTATCCATTTCCCCCTGCAAACCCTTCGTACAGAGCGAGGAATGGAGGCAGAGACTTTTCACCGAACTCTTTCTTCTTTTCCGCCTGTAATTACAAGGAAAGGTATCACCAGTGCATGCATGGTGAGGAAACTGTGCCGTTTGTTTCTCAATTTTACAGTGTCGAGTTGAACATACCGGGAAGGAAAGGAAATAAGTAATTCTATCTTCAATATATATATTTTAATCAAAACCATATACATATTTTAATCAAAACGTTTCTGGAACAGGAAATCTAAGTAGAACAGCACATGCACAGCACATGCGCAGCACATGCACAGCGCATGCACAGCACATGCACAGCACATACGCAGCACATGCATAGCACAAGCACAGCACAAGCACAGCACAAGCACAGCACAAGCACAGCACAAGCACAGCACAAGCACAGCACAAGTACAGCACAAGCATAGCACAGGGGATGGGTTACAGGTTCGTGCAGAATTGTTCATGAAAACCGTGCTGAAGAATACCTTTTTGCTTGCATCTTTCTCCATGACCATCTCAGTGAACAGTTTACCCAGATCCATGCCGCCGTCTAGCAGCATGTCTGCACGGGCCTGGTCTACGGACGTCTTTCCCAGCAAACCTGCAATTCACGATCGGATACAGGACACAGCTACATGTAAACAAATTCTTCAAAATTAGCAAATTGTCTTTACATTTCAACCTGTAATCCCAGTTGTTATGAGTCAGTTTTTTTTTATTTTCTTAAGTTTTTTCTTTGAGGGAAAAAGTCTCGTATTAATAATTTTTTTTAATTTTGTGTAAAATGCTGTGAGCTCAGCTCGAAGATCAGTACGCTACACTACAGGCAGATGTATCTCTACAGTATCCGATAACCAGGTAACTATATAGACCTTTTGACCTTTGGCATTAACAGCTGCCAAAAAGTTATGCATGAGAATTCAGCCATGATAACTTGACATGACAACTTCTGGCCTGTCAACATCCATCCTGATACTTTGCTGAGTTTCCTCACACAACGTGGTAAGTTTATATATCTACGCTTCAACTATCTGTCCGTTTTTGTTTGATTTTGTTTGTTTGTTTGTTTGTTTGTTTGTTTGTTTGTTGTAACTTACCTGCTTCCCTGGCCACGAAGCGAGCGATCGCCATACTCTGACAGATCATGAGCTGACCGTCAACCTCCAGTGTAGGTACTTGCCCCATCGGTGTCTCTGCAATAAGAGATTTGAGTACGACTTTACATGACTGAGTGAGTGAGTGAGTGAATGAACGAATGAATGAATGAATAAATGAATTAATTAATTAATCGGGTTTATTGAATTGATAAATGAATTGTGGCGACACAATGCTTTTTGATGTTTACCAAATGAAAACATATTGTTTTTGGTCTGTTTCTTCTTCTTCCGTTCCATAGTCAATGACCTGAACCAGACCGTCTGTCACCATGGTAACTAGTGTTGGGTTACATCATGTTGCAATTTTATAGCAGGAAGGATTGTGACTTATGTGACCATATGTATGAACGTGCTTGAGTAAGAATTAACAGAGCGATATGTGAACCATATGCGAACTTCAAGGTAAACATTACGCATTTGCTTGGCACTTCCGGTGTCTGACTGGGAAACAGTAATGGCCGCCATATCATAGCAGACTCACCGAAGATATTGTAGTATCACTAGAACGAACCTGTCTATAGTGGACATCATGGAACGTAAAGAAACTAGTATCCGTGGGCGAGTGACCACAGTAGATAACAAGGAGAAGTCGTAGACATCATCCCTCCATGAAATAGCTTGTTATTTTGTAATCTTTTGGTGTATTTCAATAGAGATATTATGAGTCAAACTTTGTTTTTATCAGCAGAATGATTTGTGGTGGCACTTTGTATTTTATCAAGCTGTCATGTGCAGGCGTTTACTGTCTTGTTTACTTTGATGGCCAGCAGGTCATTTGCCTTAGCCTGGGTACCATCCCCAGTAGTATATTCGCAAACTCTATAACTGTTATAGAGTTTGCGAATATACTACTGGGGATGGTACCCAGGCTACACTTGCCTGTACATGTAGGTCAATGACCAGGCAAATGACCTGCAGACCAGACAAACAAGATTTATTTTCCTGCAGACTGTCTAGGGGTAAAAATAGATAGGGCTGCCTGGGTCTGACCTGCAGCTGGAGGTATAAACAAAAACACTCTGTCCCAACTTTTGGGTCAAACAGACCATCCTATTATTAAGTAGGGGTGAAAAAAGTGAAAATCCTTTTAAATTAAGCAATAAAAATATGCGACAACCTGCTAATGCACTCCAAAACACAAAGAGACTCAACAACTACCCACATACCAAAAATCATACCAAACCATCCCCCAGATTTTCCAAACATTCAACACAAAAAGTCCAACATTAAACATTTTGTAAATATCAAACGCAAACAGCTAGGGGACCCAAATTTAAACCACTAAACCATGGTAATAACAACTACATGCTACCTTAATATCGCACAAACAGTCCATAACGCGAAAACAACAGAATAAAAAAATTAAACTGCAGTACCAAGGTCAATCACCAGGGGCTCAAAGTCAACCTACACAATCTCCAAGGCCCCATCCATCAATCTGCCAAATATCGTACAGTTCCTTCTCACCGATCTTCAGATATCAGACCAAACATGAAACGGAGTAAAAACAGTACCCCCATTTTCATGGAGGGTAATAAACTTACGATTCTTTATACTTGAGTCGATCAAAAACGGTAATCGACGAACCCAAGAAGTGATAGCCCAATAGCAAATACTTGAACAAGCACTAGTACGGTACTGACAACTAGCTATAGCTAGACTTACTTGACTTGAGTTCCGGCCATTTGTCCCATTCAATCCTGACGTCTTCATATGGGATTCCACCTGCAGCAAATAGCAGTCTGATCAACTCCCCACGACCGCGGACGTTAAAGTAAGTCAGCTTGTACGTCGGCATTGTTTCTACCTTTGCCGGGCGGCGTACAACAATGCACGGGTGAAAGGAGAAAGGTGAGACGTGTTGAGGAGAAGGGAGCGTCTCAAAAGTTCACAGGACGTCCGTAAATGAATCCATCACCGTTAATCGTTTCTGGGTTGGAAAAAGGATTTTGTAGGCCGATTTGCTGTCCAAGTACAAATCATTATGGTATGTGTCGATGGTTTTTGTACGCTGGTAGCTAGGGGATTTTTGCGACGTGTTTTGAATTACCAAAAATGGAATCTTTTGCCATATTTGTATGGTATGTCAACTAGTAACGTTGGTTCCCTTGTAATGTATCAATTTCACCATCAGACACCCGTTGCCATGGCAACGGCCACAATGACCGACGCCTATATCTTCCTCTCACTTCATTCCATCATCCTACAACTTTTATATGCGAAGTTAAAAATTGATCAGATGAGATACAGTACTTTTTAATACTGGTAACCTTAACCTCTCTCCTTAAATTCTATACGACGTACAGCCAGCGTTGTCCCTAAATTGGGATAAAATCGTACGATCAAAAAATTGTTCACCTGATAACGTTACCCGATATGCCCTCCCCCGCAACAGAATGGAACATTCCTTTTATCCCACGACCTTTGACCTCTCCAATTGCGGACGACAACAAACATTTTGCGACTGCTTGGCGACCCAGTAAAGGAACGACGCAGATTGTTGCGGTAGAGGGAGAGATTTTCCCCACTATGGCAGAAAAGCCCGTCAGCAAGGAGCCCCGGGGAGGTGTAGCCGGCCTTTCGGCGCTCTGGCAGCAGCGCACCGAGGAACACGCTCACCAACAGACGATCAACCCCTTCTCGGACTGGGAGGGCGCGTCGACCCGAGCGAAGCTCCACCGAGGAGACCAGGGGTACGGGAGGCCTGTCGAGGGGTCTAAGACAGAGGCAAGAGGCAAGGCAGCGCACACGCACATCAGCGGGGAAGTCCTACAAGTCGTGGACGTTATAAACGCTATCGGCTGGCGGGACAGGGACGGGAGAATGTGTGTGAATTTTGGCCTGTTGTTCGAGGTGTACACCAAAATCTCCAACAAGGTGGTGGGCGTTCTTGTACGAGCGAGAAAGTACGGATTGTTGGAGTTTGAGGGAGAGATGTTGTGGCAGGGGCGGGATAACCACGTCTTGATCACGGTGCTGTGAGATGGCTGGCATAGCGGGACCAGGGAGGGTCTGCGACGTAAACAAACCTTATTTGTAACTCCCTGTGGTCGCGTGGGACCGTTATGTGGATATGACCTGGAGTAACCCCTGCAAAGAGCCCTGGTTTGTTGCGTGTTGATATAACAAGGGTTAGGCGCAATTTGTGATAAAAATATGCACTGAGAGAAAAATTCATCGCTGAACAATTATATATTATACATATACGTCGAGGGAAAACTTTATTGCACAACAATTGTGACAAGGTACAACGTATGGCATTCAATGCTGTATAACAACAAACTTATGAGACCTACCTTACAAAAGACTATGTACTAGGTAGTTTTGGATGGGAATATGCTTTTGCAAATGTGGAAACTTTTGTGTTTAGTTACTTTTGAAATATTGTTCTATATGTACAATGCAGTGGTTGTCACATGTCAATATGGACTTGACGTTGCTATTTGAATCCATTGAGAGGTATCCTGCTATAGAAGATTATAGACCTGTACATGTATATATTGACTTGTGCACATCAGAATTGTGATAAAAGAGCTACCGAGAGAGTGTATCAAGAGAGCTACGCTTATGTTCTTCCAGATTTTTATCTATTTATTGATGAATCTTTAGGCCAGTCCCTTTAGTTATAACTGATTCCCGATGGACCACAGCTCCACTTGACTGAACATCATGGAAATGTAATATGATATGTCTGCTGTTGTGTACAGAATCTCACGAAAATAGGTTAGGTAACGGAGCCGAGACATATTTCTAATGTAATAAACATGATGCAAACAAAGAAATAATTATAATAACTCTTTATTTGAAAAAAAAAGTGACTTTAACGAAGACTTGGAATACATTTAAAAGTAACGCTATTCAAACACGAATGAATAATAGTTAAGAGAAATAGAAACCCATATCATCATAATGAAACAGCATTAAAAACAACACCAAACTATACCAAAATTACATATTATCGCTAGAAGTTGATTGATGATAATTCTTAGCACCGTGTTTAGAGTGTGTAGATCAGAGCCTACAGCTTATTCAGGCTTCAAGACATTTTTGTATATTACATGTACTTCTGTTTTATCTTACACAGGTATCAACATCACTGTTTATTTACATCAGTATTTACAGGTAGCAGATTACTAACACTAGTACAGCACTGGACATCTCTCGGATGGACTTTGCTGAAACAAAAGAACAATATAATTAATAATTCCGAATTATACCATATTCCATAATAGCTAAGTTCAAAGATACAAAATGTGCAGGGAGGACCAGTGAACTTTATATTGCCAATTTAGTCACTTTAATTAGAAAATTAGCCTAATTTACCTAGAAGTATTCCTGTGAGACCTGAGACCATCTCTTGGGTTGATCGTACGCCTGGAAGTCAACATTAGGCCGAGGTATCCTGAACTGTAGTATAGAAAAAACCAGGATGTTATTTCATCACGTAACTTAACTGTCAATATTCTGACTGAATACTACATCCTGAACATTGTTATTGTCGTTTTATGACTTGTGCAATGTGGATACTGGTTTTATGCTTCTACGACAAAAGAGTTAGTGTCACCAACTAGGCATCTTCCTTGATAGCCTTGCTAGTACTTGCTAGTACGACAGGTCACTAGGTGATTACCATTATATCAGTACGTTATCTAAAGTACCATTGACATACGTATTACAATAAGTAAAAATGTCCAGAAATACATGTTTATGGATAAATTAAGGCATAATAATGTCCTTTATAAGTACAATTTTTACATAGCTAGTAATTCAACAACAAAAAAATGTAGAGTTTATATCTTTGTAACAACCCTGAGAGGAAAAGTGGCCTTACCTTGCTGGGGAAGTTGGGTTCGCTGACGTAGATGGGGTTGTACACGTCAGTGAAGGTGTGGAAGGCGGACATGTCTGACAGGGGGTAGTTGGCCTGGTGACTGGAGAGGGACCCCTGTCGTGTGTTGTTCTTCCAGAACGACGTGTCGGCTCGGCTGTAGGCCATGGTGTTCACACTGCTGAAGGAAGACGAAGTGTTCATTAGACAAGTTGACAACATAAATGGTAGCTAGAAAGGTAAAATAATCAAATTACATTCACATGATCTATCGTCACAAACTATTGCTCTATTTATATTATAACTCAAACACATTCATACATATAATGACCAGCCCCTCAAACTAAAATTTGCAAAATTTGCAAACACAACGCCACAGGGTGTCTGCTACAGCACCTGTTACCATGGTGACAGACGTCTGGTCACCATTCAGGCCATTGTTTATCGCACAAAGGCAGACTGAGGGATATGCATACGGAAATATTGCAATGAGTGACCTTGAAAGATGATAGTGCCACCATGTTCTACAGGATTGTAAAATCTTGATGAAATTCATCAGAAAATCGTTAATTCTAACTCTAAAGCAAGTCTTTGACGGGCAATATTCAAAGGTGGTGACAATTGTACGCACCTTGCCATTGCACCAGAAGTGTTCCTCCTGCTGTAGCAGACGTAAGATGCCAGCGCCATGATGATGATGATCAGAGCGCCTCCCACGCCTGCAGCCCCGCCGATAATGGCGGTTTGTGACGCGAACGTCTCGCACCGGGCGCCGCTGTAGAACCCGCGCGTGTCTGACAAGCAGCTGCGGGAAAGAACAGAAGGAATGTCTTTCAGTACCAAGGACGGCGTATGCTTTATGTGTGTCAGGATAGAGACACCGATATGGTAGAATCGGCGATCTGTGTGTCTACCCTGACACACATACTGAAAGCAGCTATCATGGCAACCATGGGAATCAAAATAATTGCAAAGAAAATTCATATACTGTTTGGAGAAATCGGCGCCTTAAGCAATAATAAACGCATAGCAGATGGAATTGTTTGATTAAGGAAGCTGTACATCTTCAATCTTGTTAGCATTCTAGCAAAACGTTCCTCTCCACCCCCCAAAAAAGAAATAGAAGATATCACACCACAAAAAAATCATTTACCTGCATTTCAGTCCAACGTCAGGGATGACCTCACAATGTCCGCCATTTTTGCAGTAGTTGTCTGCGCAGACGCACTGAGCGCCCCAAACGCCGTTGGTCTGCGTGGCGCTGCAGTTGGCGTCAGGTCCGCAGCCGGACGGGCAGAGGGCCGAGACTCCGAGACTGCTGATGTCTGTGCGGTATACAACATCATTATACAACTTCATTCTTTTTTTTATATCGATATCATTTCATTGTTATTCATATCAATCAGAAACAATCTCTATACAAACGCGGAAATGTGTAGTGTCAACTTGCGTATTGAATACATACCAGTACAATACAAATTTTCCTGGTAATAGACATCAATGAAAACTATGTAGAAAAACAACGTCTGAGGGTATTTTGTCACTCTACCGAAACGTCAAATTTCAGGTCAAATTTGGCTTACAAATGGAGTTGAATCTACTCAAGCAAATGACAGGAGAAGATGAAGATGAGGAGGATTAGGAGGAGGAAAAAGAAGAAAACTAGTTGAGGAGGAGGCGGAGAAACATCCGGAAAACAATATATTTCATCCATGCCATCGTATGGAGTGAAATATAACCAGACGAGAAAAAAAGCCGGCAAAGGAGCCTGCTATGAAACACATGCCAAGGCCATTGCCTTCGGCTACCAGTGAAGAGATATAACAAATGTTCTTACCTTCATAAGTGAGTGCGGAGGCAGAAAATGAATTCTGCTCCACCCTGTAGTTGCCAATGGCTCCACTTTGCGTCCAGTTCTGAGCAACACCCGTGATCTCTTCAGTCGGAGCGGCCGTGTCACTCTCGAAGATCGTGGCAAATTTCACGGTCAGATCTGTGCCTGGTCTGCAGAAAAAAATGGGACAAAATGTTACCATAGCATCCACCACGAATTTGTCATAAACATTTGCCAATCAGCTTGTTTTCTGTCAAATAAATGATCCAGTACAGCAACTCATTAAGACATTGTTCATCAATTTAATATACTGGTACGTACCCAGTACAATGACACATTTTAAAGCTGATACCTGTAAGTAGGAATAAGGACGAGTATACTTACGGGAATGACAGGACCACAACGACTTTGAAGCCAGTCAAGGCCTCGAACACTGGCTGCAGCTGCAGAAAGGATACAAGCAATTTCTATGAATCAGTCTCTGTGTATTTAGGTATGTACTACATGATCTTCAATATTATCGCCAATAAGCATATACTAGAGAAGAAAAAAACAAACGTTAATACTAGAGAAGAAAAAAAAAACAAACGTTGATACTCTCCCAAATATAGTCCATTAGAAAATCAATCTAAAAGTAGATAAAGTATAGTAAGAGGAGACCAACTCACCGCCTCAATGCACTGTCGTGTTAAGTTCCTATATTCGGCCGATTGTTGGTTGTCTAACGCACCCGGTCTCATTCCATTCAGAACGACTTCAAAAGCCAGAATAGTCGTAGGTTTGCCTGTGTGATAAAACATTGACAAAAAGTATAACGGTTCTGTTTCTTTGTGATTTTTTTTTGATAAATCATAAAAAATACAGCATCAAAATCTACAGACTAAATCCGTAGACTAAATGTGAAATGCAGATAAATAATGAACGAACTCACCAGGCGTAGCAGCTTGTGTAGTGGTCATTTGTGTGGTAACTGGTCTTGTAGTTCTCTGTGCCGTGGAACTTGGTGCACCTGGTCTGCTGGTAGCTGCACCGGTCGTTCCTGGTCCAACGGTGGCCCCAACAGTCGTTGCGTTATCGGTGGTGACAGGGTCAGTTGCAGGTGCACCAGACATTGTTGTTGCAGGTGCACCAGCCATTGTTGTTGCAGGTGCAACAGGCATGGTCGTTGCAGGTGCACCAGCCATAGTCGTTGCAGGTGCACCAGCCATTGTTGATGTAGGTGCACCAGCTATAGTTGTGCCGGTGCACCAGCCATTGTTGTTGCAGGTGCACCAGCCATTGTCGTTGCAGGTGCACCAGCCATAGTTGTTGCAGGTGCACCAGCCATTGTTGTTGCAGGTGCACCAGCCGTTGTTCGTTGCAGGTGCACCAGCCATTGTTGTTGCAGGTGCACCAGACATTGTGGAGGCAGGTGCACCAGCCATAGTTGTTGCAGGTGCACCAGCCGTTGTTGTTGCAGGTGCACCAGCCATTGTTGTTGAAGGTGCACCAGCCATTGTTGTTGTAGGTGCACCAGCCATTGTTGTTGCAGGTGCACCAGCCATTGTTGTTGTAGGTGCACCAGCCATTGTTGTTGCAGGTGCACCAGCCATTGTTGTTGCAGGTGCGCCAGACATTGTTGAAGCAGGTGCGCCAGACATTGTTGAAGCAGGTGCACCAGCCATTGTTGTTGCAGGTGCACCTGCCATTGTTGTTGCAGGTGCACCAGCCATTGTTGATGCAGGTGCACCAGCCATTGTTGTTGCAGGTGCACCAGCCATTGTTGATGCAGGTGCACCAGCCATTGTTGTTGCTGAAGTGGCAGGCGCACGAGGCATTGTTGTTACTGCTGCTGAAGTGGTAGGTGCACCAGGCATTGTTGTTGCTGAAGTGGTCGGTGCACCAGCCATTGTTGATGCAGGTGCACCAGCCATTGTTGATGCAGGTGCACCAGCCATTGTTGATGCA